CTGTAAACTTTCTGTTTTTTTTAAGCCAGTTAAACCTTGGCTTTGAAAAAGATCTTTCCCAGAAAAAAATTGAAGGGATTTTAATCATTGAAAAAGCCAATTGTGTGCACATGAAACCCTATAATTTTATATAAATCATTTTTACGATTCTATGGAATACAACAATAGTTTGAGTTTTTTTAGAAACAGAGCTGTAAAGTGATTTTAATTGCCTCCTGGTGTTTTGAAACAAAAAGTGAAATAGGCTAACTATCTAGAACTTGAAAAGAACTTTCTGAAAGCAGTCTTTGTCCCACTCTGGCTTATAGACTTCTAAATGGGATTTTCATTTTAATTTAGATTTAATAAGGTATTATATGTGAGTTAAACAGCAACTGCTATTTATTTAGCTTTCAAACCTGGATAGTTCTGGGTTTTACTACGTATATACAGCTCAACCTCTAAAAACATGTTTTTAATTGTCAGTATTACACATAACAAGGCCGTTTCTGCACTGAATGTAAATCAAACGTAGACAGAGAGTATCACACCTACAGGAAAGCGCACTCTGGACGCCCGACGGGTACATTAAAGAAGAAGGTTGCAATGTGGCTCGCTTCACTGAGTGCTGCTCATGCCCCAGACCGAGCACCACGGTCATCAGCAGCAGAATGGTCAGATGAGGCAAAAGAGCATCTCCAAACGCTCCATAGCCACCAACTTGTACTAACAGAAATGCAGAGTGGCAACATTTTGTACATGGAGGAGGGGAGACAAGAACGTGGACGGAGAGTGGACAGAGGGGCAGTAATCTCTTCAAACCCATTTTCTGTTGGCAGGAAGAGTAACATGTGCCCATGACCTTTATTATTATTATTATTATTGCTTGCTACTTATTCATGCACTAGATCTAGTCTAGACTATAAGAGTCTATTATTTATATAGTGAAATAGATATTTATGTGATAGACTGAGAAGCTTCTGGTTCAAGTCATTGCAATAAGAGGAGGAAATCAGTACAAACTGGGTGCGATGACTTTCTGGCCCTGCCTCCAAATGACAAATGCCTGGGAATCTGAAGCATCTAAAGCACAGTCAACCTTTGCTGAACTCAATTCCCTGCTCTTGCATTATCAGATCTAAGAAGCTGGATGGAACCACTGACCCGAGTTGCCTCGGGGCTCTGTGAACACAACCATTTTCTCTTTGTATTGATACAGGAGAGAACTATTATGTTAGGTAGCAAGGGCATTTCACATTTCAGTACTCAGCTCTGCCCACATACCATGACTTTAACCTCAGCTTTGGAGCCAGAGTTTCCATGAACTTGTGCCGATTCTGTCTCCAAGCCCCGAACCCTTCAACCAGACGAGGAGTGAATTTGCTTTGGGTTTTCTGTATACTTGATGGAGAGAGACAGAGTCCTTGAGGAGGAGACCCAGATCCAGACATTAGAGGTGAGCAGGACACATTCGTCTCATTTCCTTTGGGCAGCAAGAGCTGCTGTACAAATATACACATGAACATGTCAGGTGCACTGAATGCGATCAAGGATGTTGTTCTACTAAACGATAAAAAAGATAATTGTTTTACATCCAAGCTCCTCCTCCTCAGCTCCCTAATTAGATCATTAGCTTCCATTTGGATACAAGTAAAAAGAAAGGTCATTTTTAAAGTGGCTTCTCTCGCTATAAACAAGTCACTCAACGAGATGCAGACAGAGGCAGCTGTGAACAGCACCATAAAGAGGCAAAGGACTCGCTGGGCTAAGGAATATTAATGTTTTGTTGCTTGCAAATAACTCTTTCC